GACGAAGCAGCATCTTTGATCCATTTTCACTTGACATTTGGGAGCCTTTGAGAGATTTCCCAATTCCATCTTCCTCTGATGTTTCCTCTGCTTTCGTAAACACCCGTGTGGATTGGAAGGAAACCCCTGAAGCTCATGTGTTCAAAGCCGATCTTCCTGGGATCAAGAAAGAAGAAGCGAAGGTGGAGGTAGAAGACGGAAGGGTCTTACAAATCAGCGGCGAGAGAAACGTGGAGAAGGAAGATAATAATGATAGATGGCATCGGGTTGAACGCAGCAGCGGGAAGTTCACCAGGAGATTCAGGTTGCCGGAGAATGCCAAGATGGATGAGGTGAAGGCAGCCATGGAAAACGGAGTTCTCACAATTACTGTTCCCAAGGAAGAAGTGAAGAAGCCTGATGTGAAATCTATTGAAATCTCAAGTTAAAAAAGAGGAATCAGATTATCATGTCCAAGAGTGTCTAACGTGTTATATCTGTTACGTCTACAAGGTGTTCGATGAAATGCATAGCAGAAGTGATATCTTTATGTAACTTCTATGACGAATAAAATGGTTGTTAGCTTCAATTGTTTACAAGGTGTTCGATGAAATCCTCCAACTGTAGGTTGCTTCAATACTTTCTTTTGCGGTGCCCATATTTTAGATTAGATCTCTTCCTTCATCTCAGCAATAAAATCCTCTGGAAAGAACTCGATCCATTCAGACCCACAAACTGAACCTGGTCGAACCACCATAGAAATGGCCAGTTGCTGTTGGCTAGAATCCATCTTCGTTGTTTTACCCCTTGTGATGAGAATGGAGATGGAGATCAAGATGGAAGGTCTGGTTGGAGATGTGCTCTCGCCTTTGTCTAATTGTCTGTAGAAGGTCTTCGCCGGAGACAGTGGGAGGGGGTTACTTTGAGGTGGTGGGGCCAGAGATATCATCGTCGGCGATGATGGTTTTACACAATTCGGTTGAGGATTGAGTTCCGGTATATAGAGATGTATTGGATTAATATCCATGATAAACATAATTTGTGTTTATCGATAAAATGTAACAGTGATATTTATTTATCGGATAAGATTTAAATTCAATTAACAATATTGTATGCGACAATTTATTTGGTAACTGTTAACTATAATAAAAGTCGTCATAAATTATCGGGTAGGATTCTCAGTCTTTGTTTTTGCTCTTATCATGTAAGATTTTTTGGTCCTTGATATGTTTATCTGGTAAGGTAAGTTGACTTGGTAAAACGTTTGGTAAGTGGATCATAAATATGACTAATGGTTTTAATTCTTTTTACGTTTTTTACTTTAACTCTTATTCTTAACGACATCCATTAGTTTTGTTGTAGTTAAACATTTAAACAGTTTTTTCAGATAAACCCCTGAGAATCAAAATTAAAATACTAGAAAAATATTATATTCAATTTAAATTCTCATATTAGTTATACTTTTTAATATGAGACGATATAAAATAGAAACCATGTAATTTTTAAAACCAAATAAATAATAATTAATGTTTATATTATAAAACAAGACTTGAGATCATACGAGGTCAGTTTGTTTTTTTGTGAAACCATTTTTTTATCTTTAAAACTTCATAATAGAACACTGTGAAGGTAATTTTAATAATATTTTTGTTGTGAATGTTTAGATTTTTTTTACATTTATAATATTTTGCTATTAAGTTTCAAGTGTAAATTTTTTTATGTAAAATAATATTAATTTAATCTCATTGTGTGAATGAATATAAAATGATTTCTCTCTCCTCTAATGAAAATTTGATGTAAATTTCTATATTTAGAGTTTTCTCTATATTTCTCTATTTTATGAAACAAGATGGAAAATTTATTGGAGTTATACAAAGAATAAAAACTCTATTTTTTCAATTTTAGAGAATCTGTTGGATATGTTCTAAAACCACATTCCAATTCGTCTTCTAACTATTTCTCTCCAACCAAAATGTCACTACATCCGCAATATACATGTCTATAATATTAGCTAGGTCCGCAATATTAGCTAAAAGATAAAAAAAATCCATATTCAACCAGTTTACTGTCGCAATCTTAAACCAATCAGACACCACCATTTTTTGTTAAGAAGTACCTTTTTCGGAATAGAGGGAATGTTTTTTGCAACCGGAATATTGGAGATTTTTTGAACCTTTTTACCCTAACAAAATTGCTTTATTATAGAATTCCCAACGAATATGAACTTGGTCAACGATCAAATCCTATGTACCACAGGAAAATTGACACATGTCCTACGTATAACCCACCGAGTATTTAGATTTCGCAATTTAACAATTTAAAAACTGGAGGATTGGATTGGACGAAAAACAGATATAGAGAATAAACAACGTTCCCCAAGTTCCGCTCGATGTGCATCCACTCCCGAAGAAAATAAACGACGACGGATCAAAGGGGATCACAATGAACGACAACGGAACGATGGGAGGAATGCCACCATCAGCACCAATGCCGATGAACGATGACGGCTCAATGGGAATGGATGATATGATGCCGATGATGCAAATGACTTTTTATTGGGGGAAAGATGCTTCGATTCTGTTTTACGGTTGGCCCGGAAACAGCACGGGGATGTACATTCTAGCGCTGCTTTTTGTGTTCTTTCTTGCTCTGATTGTCGAAGCGCTGACTCATCATAACCTTACACCAACCAAATCCAACCATATAATGCGAACCGTGTTACACACGTTAAGGGTGGTGTTTTCGTATTCGGTGATGTTGGCGGTGATGTCGTTTAATGTTGGTGTGTTATTGGTGGCGGTACTAGGGCATGCCATCGGGTTCTTTTTGTTTCGGGTACTCAAAAAAGCCTGCGAGAAGGATTTGGATATGCCTCCGATGGCATGTTAACTCTATATCCGGATTCCAGACCCTTGTTGGTTGTTTAGTTTATTGGATTTTCCTAATCGTATAATTATGTAACTTCTCATGTTTTGTCTTACCTGGAAAAGAATGTCGAGCATTCCTTTTCTAAAATGCACTCAAATAGATGCATTTGTTGGGCAAGTTCGAATGTGAAATTACTTTTTTATCCACTCGTACCTAACATCCATTTATTGCTTGCCTTTTTGAATGTTCATGTGGATAAGATACACATATATATATACACACACACATATATATATATATATATATATATGAAGTATCGTGTGAGAAACAGAATTAAGGTGAAAAACGTAAGAAGGAATTTAGATCTTAATCACCTTTAATCTCAAATCTACCATGAATCGCGTTTGATACAAGGTTTGATCCAGTGAATCTCATCCTAATGTGCATCTAATCCTTTTTTTACGCTCTTCACTGGAACCCCCACCATATATACAATATATATATATATATATATACTCTTCACTGGAACCCCCACCATATATACAATATATATATATATATATATATATACTTATCTCAAACACGACTCTTGTGCTTCATCTGGCACACCTTCTCGGCCATATATCAACCATTCTTCTAAAGACGTATACTTGTGCTGGTATCAACTACTAACTTAACCGAACAAACAAACGAACACGAACGATAAACGAACGTAAATCTTTGTGTTCGTGTTCGTTCGTTTAGAAATCAGGTGTGTTCGTGTTCATTTATGTTCGTTCGTTAACATGCTAAACAAACAAACGTAAACGAACGAACATAAACGAATGGGCTAAACGAACGGGTTAAACGAACATAAATAAATATTATTTGAATTCAAAGTAGATAAATAAAAGATTATATATTAAATTTAATAAATAAAAGATTATATATTAAATTTAATATATAAACGAACATAAACGAATGGTAAATGAACGAACGAGACTTTTGTTCATGTTCGTTCTCGTTCGTTCAACTAAACGAACAAAAAAAATCTTTCATTTTCGTTCATTTATTAAATAAACGAACTTCCTGCCAAATGGTTCACGAACGGTTCGTTGAACGTTCGGTTTGTTTACAGCCCTAATTACAATAAACACGATCTAACTTGTATATTAGTTTTACAAATTACACAATGCATGGACGGATCCACGTATCAGGTTGTGGCTGCCCGTCCAACCATGAAATTTTTGGGGGTTAAGTGTAATTTTCTTAAGGTCCTTACAGGTGAAACTATAAGATTTTTTTGGATGAAATCATTAACTTTACATTTTTTCAGGGGTTTTATATGAAAATTTAATAAATAAAACTTCATCATTCCCTTGTTGATGATAAGTTACAGTTTACACCCTTAAAGAATTTGATGTTTTCAATTTTTGGTGGTTATTGAACAACTCAAGCACTACCGAGTGGTATTTTGCCCAACTACAAGCTTGGCTTGCTCTTCCACATCCAAGTTTAAGGTTCAACTTGACATCCATAAAAAATGAAAGGTGAGGGAGATGAGGGTTAGTAGATAAATTTGTCCCTCGTTAATGGAAACCTAATTGATGGAGTTAGTAAAAGGGATCATATCCGTTATAAAGATGAAACTATAGGGACGTCTCATGTTAATAATTCTTTTTAGGGACATTACTCGTTATATTATGTAAACCATAGGGATCAAATTTGCATTTAACTCAATGAAGTAATTACTGAAACACTATTTATACTATATTATAAAGCATTTGACAAAAACTCTTAAAAATCATTTTTATGCATAAAGTACTGTTTATTKATGCATATTACTTGAAATTCAAGATTACAAGTAAATTGAGCGTAAGTACAGCTTATTAAGGCTTCATGTTTGAATTCGTGTAACTAACTGCAGATAAACATAATCAAATAGAGGATAAACATCTCATTTTAAATATAAAAATCTAAAATATAATTAAGATAATCATTGAGTTCCAACAAAATACTTAATTATTATATTTATAAAAAATTATATTAATAAGGGGGTGTTTGGGATTGCTTGTAAAAGCAACTTTTTAACTTATTTCAGTCTGTCACCGGTGATAAGCTGTTTTATAGTGTTTGGGTAAGAGAAAAAAATGCTTATACCAGTGCCAAACCGGTAATAAGCAGTTTTTGATAAGTTAATCCGTAGTGATTTATGAAAATCGACTTATTACCAGTTTACCATTTTTAACAGATGCGTCTTCACCTCTTCTCCAAACGAACACCCCCATCGTCATCGCATCTTCTCCAATCGATATCTCTTCTCCTCCACAAGTAAATATTGTGCTAGCGTCCATGACAATTCACAATTATATTAGAATGAATGGAAGTTTTGATGAAGCATTTGACATGGCGCAACAAGAATCATAGAACCCTCATATTGATGTTGATGATGAAGGATGTGGTAGCAACAATAAAGCACATGAAAACACAAGTTCTCGTCATATGAGTCACGATCTATATATGAGTGTTGTAAAAGATATGATTGCAGAAGATCTAATAGGTAGATCTAGATGAATATTTATCATAAATGATGATCTATTTTTTGTTATTGATATTTTGGTTATAAAAGTTTGATATTTTTTGTTATTGATATTTTGGTTATAAATCTATTATTTTCATCATAAATTATTGATGGTATTGGTATAAATGTTTGTTAATTATTCGTATTAATACAAATTATTAATCTTATTGATATAAATTTTTGTTATAGATATTATTATAAATGATGAAAAATAAATTTTTATATGTTAAAAAATCAAATAAGTTAATAAGCAATCCCAAACACTCCTATAAGTCAATAATATAGAAGATTGTCATTTTTAATCATTTTACATATATAAGTAAAATTTGTGAAACACTAAAAAACAACTTATCAACTTATTGCAGTTTGGTACCGCTATAAGTTAATCCAAACACTTTTTACAAAACTCCGATTTGATACCGCATAAGTTAATAAGCACTTTTACAAAAAAACATAAGTTATTTTAAATAAACAATCCCAAACACTCCCGTAATGACATAGAAAATATTATTATTTATTAAAACTCAATTTCCCAATAAACAAACGGATTTGTGTGAAGTTTAGATAACCCATCAATGTGTTTTTTTTTCTGATTTGGGTTCAGTGATCCAAAACTTACTGATAGCTACCTTTTTATCTTCCACTTGTTTCCCTAAACCTTACACCTTAAAATTATGAAGTTTCAAGTGTAAAAAAATGATTTTACGGGTCTCACGAAAACATACTGGTCTTATGTGATCCCAAGTCATACTATAATTGTTGGAAATGCTTTTAAAAACCACATATTATGTACCACTTCAATGCCCCTATGTACAATTTTATGTGTGCCCAAAAAATTTAAAATGCATTGGAATTTGTCTTAATTTTTATTTAATTAAAAAATAATGTTATTTTTAGAACTAATATAGCAAATTATTAAATTTTAATCGATAAACTGTTCATCGTGTAACATTGTAAAACATCCCAAACAAAATTTTCAAAATTTGTTTAAAATAAAGAATCAAAATTTAAAATCTGTAGAAAATTCACCATCATCTCCAACAACTTATCCATCTTAACAGAGACGGATGGCCCGTTGGGCCATTACATGCCTTGGCCCCTGAGGTTTTTGTTATAAGTACATTACACATTTGATCCATTAAAGGTTTTTTAAGTATCAAATTTTTTTGAGCCCCTCCACTTTGATCCAGTCTTCCATAGTTCCATTCCAGGTGCTCTGTGCGACCATGCGAGTGTGACTGTGCCGTATCGAGTATCGACGGTAACTCCTCCGGCTCCGGCGGCAGTCCTCCAGACCCTCAAGTCTAGTGCGAGTGTGCGACTGTGCTGTATGCCTGTATCGACTGTGTTGTATCGACGGTAACTCTTCCTGCTCTGCTTCTTCTCGCCTTCTTCTCGCAAGTGCTTCTGTGGAATCCATGCCATATCCCGGCTCCCGTATGTATAAATTCTACCGTATGTGATAATATCTTAAATATCACAACATCAATTAGATTATTAAAATACATATACTAAATATATTGTATGATTTGACCATAACCATCTCCAAACATTTCTAAGTATTTTGTAAACACGTCATCAATCATTACAAGATTGATAGATTACCGTTCAAAGTTTAGGTATAACTTTTGAATGTCGATAACCTAACTGGTCCAACATGGAACCCTCCTCCAATATGAGGGGACATCTTTTAACTCACTTAGGGGCCGTTTACCAAGCACTTACCCGGGTAAGTACTTACCAAGTCATGTTACCTCACCGGATGAATATGGTAATGACCAAAAATCTTACCCGGTAAGTGTGAGATAAGGACCGTGAATCTTACCCGGTAAGTGAGGGCGACGACTCTTACCACAGTAAGCGTTTACCGGGTAAATTGTTGCATAGGATGTCGTTTTGGTGCACTAAAATCTTAATAGGTACGTAAATAATAGTGTTAAATTTTACCGGTAAGCACTTACCGAGTAAGTGTTTGGTAAACGGCCCGTTAGCGGGGCACTAGAATTGAACCCCATACTTATCTTGTATTTGTACAAAGTCATTCCACCCATTTACCGATTGAATTGCTCGCCAGAGTCTACCGGTCAAAACAAATACAAAAATATAAAATTAAAATCTTTTTTTACATTGATCGTAAAAAAAAAAAAAATCGTTACACTAAGGGACTGTTTACGCAAATGTTTACCCGGTAAATGCTTACCTATAGAAGTCAACACTATAATTTATTTTGATGAGTAAAATTTTAGTACATCAAAACGTATTAAATGCAACAATTTACCGGGTAAGCGCTTACCTACGTAAGAGTCGTAATCTTCACTTACCGGATAAGACTTTCCATCATTCTCATCGCTCTTACCCGGTAAGATTATTGGCCCTTGTCATATTCATTCGATAAGAAAATTTATTCGGTAAGCACTTACCAAGTAAACATTTAGTAAACAGCCCCTAAATAAGAATTGTATTAAATTTCCTTATAATTTGATACATTTTGCTCTTATAGCATCTCCAACAGCTATAATAAAAAGAAGAAAATAGGTATTTTTAGCAAATTTTCAACAACTGTGTTATCTTAAATGTTAAAATAAGGAAAAAATGAGAGAGATTGTAAAAATTTGTAAAATACAAATAGAAATTATTATTTTAATATTTTCCATCAATAAGATATGGCAATAAATGTTCAGGAAAAATAAATAATATTTTATTAAATAACCAATATTATTTGTTGAAAAGATTGATCGGTGGTACTTTTCATTGTACAAATAAATGTTAGAATTGAACCATATGGATGATGTCTGATTGGTTTGAGTTTAACTGTAAAGGTCAAAAGTACCGGGAGGTCCAATGTTCAAATCTAAGGAGAAATAAAAATCCTATTGGGACCATAGAGGTTCAAATGCGGTGACGTCGGGCTATCTGCAAAGCAGGTAGTCGCCCTGAGATTAATCAACTCGTATAACGGGTTAGATATCCAGATTAATAAAAAACAATGTTAGAATTGTTAAAAATATTAACTTTTAATGTTCTATTTTAGGAAATATTAGCTTTGAAGAGGTAGGTACAACTTCAATGCAAGCATGTACAACTCATTTCATAAATCATAATGACTTGCAATTTGCAAATGGGATTAAGTGTGATACCTTTCCTCTTTTATAGCCCCCCAACGCCCACCTTCATTTGGTGTGTGTGAGAGAGAGTGTGAGATACGATAAGAAACGAAGATCACATGAACGGCATGGAAGATATGGGACCGCCTCCAGTAACCGCCACCGGAGCATCTCCGACGGGAATGGGCGGCGGCATGCACCATATGATGCACATGACCTTCTTCTGGGGTAAAAACGGTGAAATTTTGTTCCCGGGTTGGCCCGGATCCAGTTCGGGTATGTACGTTCTGGTTCTCTTCTTCGTCTTCATACTCGCTTTTCTCGTCGAGTTTTTATCTCATTCCGATATCGCTCGGAAGGGTTCCGGCCCGGTGGCGGTGGGATTGATTCAGACCCTGGTCCATACCCTACGTGCCGGATTGGCTTATTTGGTTATGCTGGCGGTGATGTCGTTCAACGGCGGAGTGTTTCTGGTGGCGGTGGTTGGTCACGCTGTTGGGTTTTTGGTATTTGGGAGTTGGGTTTTCAAGCGGCCATCGCCGCCGTCTGTGGATAAAAATTCAGATCTATCTCCGATGATTTGTGCTTAATTATGCAATTCTGGTATGCGAATTTCAAAATCAATCTCTTGAATACTACGAGTTATAGTTGGATTATCAAACTTAAACGATTATGTTGTAATTATGAAAATTTCCCTAAATTTTATAGAATTATCGTTGGATTATTGTGTTGTTAATTCGATTTACGTTGGCATTTCATGAATCTGTTGGAATTATTTACAATAATTTGAACCCATTTAAAGGGTTTTATGTTTAGGTCTTAAATGGGTCTATTTACAATTATTTTGAACCCATTTAAGGGGTTGTACGTTTAGGTCGACGATATAGTGTCGTACGTATAAGACTTATTGATTAACAGCTGTTTACTTATGGTTTAATTAGGTTTTTTGGTTTATTTGGCTTATTCGCACAACTCATTTGGATTGTTTACTTACGGATTAATCTTACAGAACATGACTTAATCACACAGATAGAAATGATGTATTGTCGTCGTTCAACCACAAAAATGACACTCATACCCCTTATTTAAAGCACCACCTCCTTCCCATATAAGATCGTCGGCCTCTTTATTATTTTTTGTTTTGGTGTTCAAATTATTAATATTATAGGTAAATTGGTTATTTATGTTATTCAAACTATTGGTTCAGATAAAAAAAAATAAACAACATCTATTTAACCAAAAAGACAAATTTATTCATTAAAAACTTAATAAAAAAATTGATAAACAACCCAAAGTCATAAGTCAATTGGGCTTAAATGAGACCGCCCTCCCATGTGTATTAGAATTCGACTTGTAACTTTTCTAAAATTATAATTATGAATTTAAATTTTCTTAAATTTTTATTGACTTTAACGAAAATATTATTTTGTAAATTTCAGTATTAATTATCTATACTATCTATACTATATTATAAAGCATTTGGCTAAAACTCTTAAATTCTTAAACTCTTAAAACTCTTAAACCCGTTCATCCCTAAACAATT